CTGGGAAAGAAGAGGAGGAGTGTTTTCCTCCTATTTCAGCTGGATCAACGCCAAATTATTATTGTTCTCTTTATGGAAAGAATGAGCTAGCTGGAATTGACTTGCAGGCTGTCCCACTGGAGAGCAGAGTACTCAGATGCTATTGCAGAAGATGAGTAGGGAAACTTGAACCTTCTGCAAAGAGACATTTCCATGGAAAGCTGCCTATGCTGCCCTCTTCTTGACAGCCTGGGAAACATCTTAAACTATGGATGCATCTTAAAGGCTGAAATCTATCCTAAACTGAGGACTTTGTGCCACCTGGTGGCCAGGTGGAATGACTATAAAAGAGAGAAGACCTCTTGGCTATTTTTTGCTGAGCATATGCAAGTGCGTTGCATCCATCATTCCAGTAGCTACCAAAAGGGTACCAACAGGGAAAGCTTTATAATCTAGACCTTTAAGCTTTATTCCCCCTGCTGGCAACCATCACAGGAGCAAACTATACACACTTAACAACAGAGAAAGCTATGCAGTTGATGGGCATGAGAGCCCAGAAGAATATGCAAATAGATGCAATTGTGCAAGGCATGTGCTGATGCAGGACCCAAAACAGCCTCTTGCAAAATCAGCAGCTAATTATGCTGCAGAGGAAAGACAGACAGCATGTATCAATCCTGATAAAAACTATTGGGATGTCTGCAGCTGCTTCAGTCCAGCAGCATTGTGGGGTGGATGAGGAGAGGGTTTGGTCTTGGCCACTGTCAATAATGCTGCCACCTGGGAGCATTTGCTGCAAATGTTAATTATTAAATTATATTTTCTGAAAAACTGAAAAAGATACCTGAATAGCTGGGAGAAGGGAATTTGTCAGAGATTGGCCCTGCCTTCAGTGAAGAAATTATAGTTCAAAATGACAGCCTACATACTTGAAAGTTGCTATCATGTTTTCATTTCAGGACTCTGGACCTGGTTGATATCTATACTCTCTACATACTCTCAGCCCAATGAAGTCACATGGGATGCAACCAAGGAGAAGGTTGCTAACATTAAATCCCCACAAGAGGCACCCTTGAACATGAAGACACCTTAAATTAAATGCAGTCCCCACATAAAACTACATTCCCCCTACATATACCGCTTGCTTTCTTTCTCATCAGTCAGTCAAGTCCATCCACTCTGGCAGCTATGGGAGAAAAAAGTAGATGAGGAAGACTGTGACAGCAGCAGCAATACCAGGGGCTCTACTATTACCTACATGGTGATGAAAGAGAAGGAGTAGGTGTCTGGCTGCTGGCTCTTTTTCAAAATGCCTTGTTTGCCTCTGGGGTTCCCAGGAGCAAAGGCACTTGGGAGGAGTGACTGTAAATATTGCCTTGTACTGCACTCTCTAGACCCTAGAGAGTCTTACATATTTCCCCTAGAATGTCAATCAGTAGAGAGGAATAACTTGCAAAGGCAAAGCCAAAATAATACTTTCAGGTGGCATAATAGCATTTATGTAATGCTGTATAAACAAGGGTGAGAATCATCTATCCTTCCAGATGGTGTTGGACTGCAAGTTTCCTCAGCTCTAGCTAGGACAGCCTATGGTGAATGCTAGTATTTGTAGCCCAAACCCTTCTAGAATGTCATATGGTTCTCACCCTGCTCTATCATGTTCAAGCACTTTAAATTTGTTTTTAATTTTTTTTTGTTTTGTTTTGTAAATCTTACAGTGTTTAGATGGTAGGTCAGTATTTTTAATCCTGTTTTTCAGATGGAGGAAATAGTGACTTTTCCCCTAAGACACTGTAGTGTATTCAAGAATTCAAAAGTCAATCTGAAGGCATAGTGTAGCATCAGATTCCCCGTGTCAACAGCACTTGACTGACTGATCTTTGATGTTCCTTGTGACTCTTGTCATTTTATACTTCTTAACTACCATACTGTATCAGATCCACCAAAAGAATTACAACAATGTAAGACTGAACAGAGGTCAGCCTATGAACAGTAACAGAAGTCCCTTTTTGTTAGACCTTTCTGGCCAAACTTCTGCAAGGGTTGTTCGGGTATGACCTTTACTAACATGTAACTACTGCGCTGTCGACACCATTTCTCCACAGGTTCTCTCACCTAGTTTCCCCATCTATCTGTTGTGAGCACAAAATAATTTGCAGTTCATAGCAGACAGAGAAAAATGGGCAAAGGGAATTTTAGAGGAACAGTGCAGGAGCTAAAACCTCACAGTGTCACAAAGAATTTAAATATGTAGGTGTAATTTCCAGTCATTGACCTGGCAACCCATCATCTCCTTCTTTCCCTGCCCCTAGTAACAGCTCTCATCTCATACATTAATCTCTTTGTACAGATCTCCTTGGGGATAGAGCAGAAATCTATGTAAGGAATATGGCTCTAACAGGTTGGCAGAAGAGGGACCCTGACCTGAACTAACTGAGCAGAGTGGACCTTATTTTTTAACAGTGTTTTGAGGGCTCTGTTTTTTGAAGTAAACATGAGCCTAGAGCCCTTTTGGATCCTTTACATTTCTGTCCCAAAAATGTGGGCAAAGGAAGCCAAATGCCAAGATACTTACAGCCTGCAGTCATTGCCAATCTAGTCAGGATCACATTCAAGAACTAGAGTGTATATTTTCATAAGGAAGTCTTAAGATGTATGAAGGCTTTAATGCCATATATGGAGAAAATAAAACAGGATTTTTGGTATATGGAAACAGATAATAATATGGAATCAACAGGTGCTCTGCAATTTGCTTTCTAAACTGCAGAGAGCAAATAGAGAAAAGATGACGCATATTGTAAGTATGGTCCTTTTATCTTACTCTCTTCCACCAACTGTGAGAACCTCCCCCTGTCGTACCACTATGGCAGCAAGTGTGGGAAGCATCTAGATGCCCTTGTCATTCCTGTGCAAGACTTTATTTTTATAATACCACCACTAGACACCATCACCCTTGAACTACTGCTGCTACCACAGATACTGTGTGCCTGAACTCATCCAGTAACACTACTGTAGCAATCTCAGATGTATGGTACAAATATTTTGCCATTTTAAGCACCTTCAAACTCAATAGAGTGTCGTTTCCCACAACTGGAATGATATTCTGGTTGCTTTTGGAAGTGATTTTCTTCTTGTTTGAAATGAGGTGAAACAGCACCTAGGTGCAAAAACGCACTTTTTAGCAGCTTTTTTTTTTAAAATCAGGATTGAAGAGTTTCTGGGAACTTTCAAGGGGCCTAAGAGCTATGCACAGCTTACAGGTTGCAGAAACACAACCCCCAATTTAAAATATTAAAATATTTTAAATATACTGATCAAAATATATATTAATCAAAATATAAAACATGCATCAAAAGGACAGGCAACCATCTCCAGTACTGACAAAAATATTAAGCAATTAAATATTCATATGAATAGTCTTTCATATTCTCAACTGCAGAGGAAGGCAAAGGCAACCCCGCTCTGAATAAATTTTGCCTAGAAAACCCTGTGATAGCTGTGCCTTAAGGTCACCATAACAACGTGAAGTCACACAAGGACAACAACAATTAATAGCTTTGGCAGCTAAAGAGACCTGACAATAAAATACTTTGCATATCAATGAAAAAATATATAATGAAGAATGAAAGAAAAGAAAGAAAAAATAACCACAAGACACTTTGGGCAGCCCACCTTCAACAGAAAGCCTTCCTCCAAATCCTCTCATGCCCAACATCAAGAAAGGACACCATGGTCAGCATGGCAACTCTCTTTCTAGCTTACTCTAGACAGAAGAGTCCTACAAACGTGGTCCTCCAGATGCTGTCAGACTTCCATCAGTCCCAGTCACCACGACAAATAGTGAGGAATGGTGGGACTTGCATCTCGAAGGCTAGAAGGTACCCAAGGCAAGTTGCTGGGGGAGGCGACCTATTCTTATACAGATGTCCTCACTGAAGAGTATAAAGCTGGGTGGTACAAACATTTTCACACACATTAAAAACTGCCTCAGCATACATGGCATCTTCCCCAAGTGAGCTCACACGGAAACTCTTACTTCAGTATTCAGAATGCCAGAAAGACCCTTCTTCTTAGGAAAGTTACTTTTTTGGACTGCAACTTTCAGAATCCTCCAGGCAATGTGGCCACTTTCCAAGATCAAGGATGTAACAAGTGGCTGCTGCAGAATACACATAATTTGAGAGGCTGCTGAATTATCCCTTTAGTAAGAAATGGGGGCAGAAAGCCCTGCATGTGCTCACACAGCAACCATCTTGTTATCTTGAACTTCCCATGTTAGTGGCTATATATTGCCTCTGAATAACATAATTAAGGAACAGTACAACTGAAAGGCCTTCTAGCATCACTGGTCATGCTTGCCAGGAGATTCTTGTAGTCCAAAGTAACTTTTCTGAGTTCTGCCCCTCCTTCTAGCAACAACTCTTTAGAAAGGCTCTTGGAACCACAAGTTGAACAAGGCTATGGAAGCAGATAAGTCTGATGACAAGCACAAAATGCCTCTTCATTCTTTCCCCTACTGTCATCAGAGGACACACCATGTCCAATGAAAGGAAGCCAAAAGGAGTTTATTGAAAATATGGCAGGCAATTGATTGAAATAAGGGCAAAGTACAACAATTTCACGCAGCAAAATGGGACAGTGTTGCAACCTCCCACAAGTACTAATAAAGCAGTTTGTGTATCAAGACTGGGATTGCACAGAATTCGTCCTGTGATTCATATTCCTCTCCCCAGCCCTCTCCAACATTCCACTAACTTACACTTTGATCCACTGAAATCAATTTTAACTCATATTTGCAGGATCTCAAATAGTTTTCTGAGTCTTGCTGTTCCAGTCCTCAAGTGGGGTCATCTCAGGTCTTTACTTAACCTGGCTTCTTGTTGTTGTGTGCCTTCATCTTTTCCAACTAAGGGTGACTCTAAGGTGACCCTATCATGGGATTTTCTTGGAAAGATTAGTTCAGAGAGGGTTTGCCTGTGCCTTCCTATTAAGTCTGAATGAGTATGATTTCCTCATTTCCATGCCCCAGCAAGGATTTGAACCCTTGTCTCCAGAGTCATAGTCCAATGTTAAACCACTACACCACGATGGCTCTCTAGCCTAGCTTCTGCTCTCCTGGAAAATGAAGCAGTACCTACTCTGATTTTGAGCCGTCTGAGGCAGGTAAACAGGACCATTCACACAACACTTCCAAGTTAGTGGGGTAGTGAAGAAGACTTTAATCTATACTGGCCAAATGGCAGTAATAAATGAATTGAATTGAAGACTTTAATCCCTATCATGGTACTCTGGAGGAAGAGTGTTAAATCTCTCTTCCTTGGTACATTGCAGTGGTGATTAAACCTTACTGAGGAATAGGTATGTGGCTCAGGAGAATGCCATGCATTACATCTACTGCAAGCCATATGGTCTCCATCCTTGTGTCATAGTAAATTGGGAAATATATTAAGGACAAGAAAGGTTATTCACTTGCAATCCCACCATTCATCCTCCCTCCCTTCAATTGCTGCTATATTGTCTCCCATCTGAATCGTGCAGGTTATTTTGTAATTCACTTTGCTTATTACAGTATTGAGCAATACAACAGGGAGAAATAAATGCCAGGAAGAAATAGCCTTTATGCCTTTCTTTAGGCAAGCATTGGGTGTGCTCTCTGCATTGCTCATCCCCTGACTGTGATTGAAGACAAGACAAATCCCTAACTTGTTTCCCCAAAGAGTGCCATTTACAAGTTCACCATAAATCATTCTACCTTCACAACAAAATACAATACTAGGGCTTGATTTTTACATTTTAAAAGATGATTCTCATGGAAAGATTTAAAGAGAGAAAGCCTTACTTTATCCTTCCTCTTTATCGTTCCTGCCTTTGTACGGATGCCAGCAGCAGGCACTTACAAAAAGGCACAAATATTGTTAGCATTCTCTTATTTTTCAGTGGTTGTTGGCTTCAGTATGGCTTATCTTATCTTGACAAGATAATTAAATATGGGTTGAGAGTAGATCCCCAAATTCACTCCCAAGAAATAGAGCTCAGACTATCACTATGAGCAAGAGATCCCATGATAGACAGTTCACTGACCTTTGCTATTTATCTGGAGGCAAATTATGGGCTTCCAGATGTTGATGGACTACAGCTTTCATCAACCTTGACTATCCTGGCTAGGAATGATGGGAAATAACTTGCAGTCCAAGGGACACAAGTTACTCATCCTTCCTGATTAATTCCTATCTCAAAGACTTGTCTGAAGCAGAGTTTGGGAAACATATATTTTGGACTTCAGCTTCCATAAACCCTCAGACAGCCTGGTCAGCTGCTATGCTGACTGGGAAATTCTGGGAACAGTAGTGTACAAACTAATTTTTATAAATCCTGATCTAATTATGAGATTATGTTACCCAAAATGCAAAGAGGGCACCCACAATTAATACTCAAATGGGAATTCAATTAGCTCAAATGACAGCAGCTAAAGTGGGACTGAGCCTGTGTATAACAATTCTAAAAACAGGACTTCAGAGTGCTAGTCCAACTGTAGTTTTATTTGTAATCAAGGAATCACCATTCACACAAGACACTCATGCATGCATCCAAGAACTAACAATATAAAAATTGGTGACAGGTAGCAACTTAAAGAGGTTGCAAAGGGCAATATTGTACTGACTCCAGATGTATAGCTCCGATGGGGGGCGGGTACTGTGAGGTGAAAAATGGCTCAGCAGATGCCTTGGGATTGTAGCATGGCCAGCTTATGTTGAGGAACCAAGTAAGATATGGAAGAGCAGCTTTCTGACCTCAAACAAGACCAAATTGGGGTTGCCTGAGTGGGCATATTTATAGAACAAAACATATCCTCGGGCAGGCTTTAGGATATGAGTGGATTTCCGGGAGGGAAGAATGGGCAAGAAAGTTGAGAACGGCTCTTCCATCCATGCAGGTGTCCCTTGGGCAAAGAAGTCTCTCTCCCAGAATTTCTGTTCATTTGTAAACACGAGAGCTATTGTGAAGTCGAAGGGTTTCACAGCCAGCATCATAGTTTTTTGTGGGTTTTTTGGGCTACATGGCTGTGTTCTAGAAGAATTTATTCCTGATGTTTCGCCAACATCTGTGGCTGGCAAAACATCAGGAATAAACTCTTCTAGAAGACAGCCACAAAAAACAAGAGCATTGCCCACCATCACTCAGTGCAGGGATTATGCAGATTCCAATCTGGATTGATCTGTCCTGGCTATGTGCTCTTGAGCTCCTCCATGCTAAGCCTTCTGGATCTCCTTGTATGGCAAGGCTAATCATAGCTACATACTCTAAACATCCCATTTGATAACAATATATCGACACAGAGGAGGGTTGCAGAGGGCCTGGTCTTGGGGTAACTGGTACATGAGACCTTCCACACCCTGTTGGGATGACATCTCTCACTAGCAGTGCATTGGTCAGAGTTGAAGCAAGTTGGAATCCAATACCTGAGAGTCCACAGAGTCTCCTAAATTAAACAACCTAAGTAGACTGAAGTCTATGAAAGCTCATGCTGCCAATTTCTTTCTTTCAGTTAGTCTCAAAGGTGCTACAAGATCTCTCTACAACCTGTACCATATTAAGTCTCCTATCCAAAATTGTTCGCTGGAGGAGGAAGCCTTCCTCTTGCCTCCTCCGTACACCAGCTTTGCACAGATGGGCTCTATGCTGTTTTTTGTCTAAAGAAAGATCACCACACTGTACTTGTTGCAATTCAACACTAGAGCAGCCTGTCAAGTGGCATGCGGTGTGCAGAGAAATCTGCTTCTTCCAGTCTGTCATTGGATACAGCAGATTCCCTGATAATTCTGGCATTTCTGTTTTTAATAATGAATAAATAAATACAGCCTAACTGTACACAGCCTTTGTCACAGCAAGCAGCAAGAAAAATAAAACAAAACAAGGTTCTGCCCCCCAAAAACTTTACAGTTTAAAATCTGGTAGAGGGAAAGCAATAGAAGGAAAGAAGACAGAGAGGATAAATTTGAAGTATATGCACCCAGTGCCATTATACACATCTTGGCTTAGCTTCACTAGGCCTGGGATGAGAATCATGCAGCTATCCAGATGCTGTTGGACTGCAACTCCCAGCATCCTTCATCATTGTCTATATTGGCTGGGGGCTGCTGTTGCAAGCCCCAAGTATTTGGAAGGTCACATGTTTTTCACCTCTGCACTTGAGAAAGTTGTCACAATAAAAATGTGACAATAAAGCTAAGATTTAAGAAAGGATTTGAGAAAAAGCAGTACCATGAAAACTGGCAAAAAAGGCATTTAAAGATGGGAAATGGAATCCAAGAATAGCTGGAGGCCTGCCAGAAGAACCTCAGGTCAACATCACAAGGCCACCCAAGCTATATTTCCCAGAACTCCATAGCATTGTGCCATGGCAGCTAAAGTGCTGTCAAACTGGATTAATTCTCTTAGTCCTGCTCCAAATAGAAGACACTGTGGAATTCCTTCCAGACAGAAGGCTGACATAAAGGACATGATTAAATAAAAGTGAAAAATATGCGTAGAAATTTAAATTCATGCTTCTTAGTCCTGCTCCAAATGGAAGACATTTTGGAATTCCTCCTGGACAGAATAAATAAATGTAAATAATAAATGTAATAAATGTAAATGTATGCTTCATAGGACTTTATCACACAGGGGAAATCTGTAATTTATCCCAAATCCCAAAAAACCTACATAATTACGCACAACGATTTCACACGACATCACACAAAAACTGCTATTAAAGTGTTCAGAAAGTGGTGTTATTCCAGATCTTTTTACTTTCAGAATTTTAGTAAAAATGCATTTTCAATATTACTGTAATTGTGCATTTACTCTAGTGTGA